GTCTAAGATTTATGTTGGACAACATGAAGAGGAATAACTTAAGAATTATCGGCATTCTAGAACAAGAAGAATCCCACAAGTCCACAGAGGAAATAGTTGAAGAACTGCTGGAAGAAATTTTCTCTAACATCCTGAAATGTGAAAAGATAAACATTCAAGAAGCTCAACGAACCCCAGGAAGGAAAGACCCCAAAAGAAAATCACCAAGACATATCATAGTCAAGCTTTCCAAAATCAAAGATAAGGAGACATTTCTGAACGCAGCCAGGGAAAACAGAAGTATCACATACAAAGGCAAGCAAGTCAGATTAAGCTCAGATCTCTCAGCAGAACCCATGCAAGCAAGAATGCAATGGGGAGACATATATAAAATGCTGAAAGACAAAAATTGCCAACCAAGAATCCTTTATCAAGACTAAGGTGCAATAGACCCAAGCCACAGTATTTTTAATTGCCTCATATGCATGCGAAAGTTGGACAATGAAAAAAGAAAACCATAAAATAATAGATGCATTTGAATTATGATTTTGATGAAGAATACTGAAAGTGCCAGAAGAACAAACAAATCTATCTTTGAAGTACAACCAGAATGCCACCTTAGAAGCAAGGATGATGAGGCTTCATCTCTCATACTTTAGACAGGAGGGAATAAATAGTTCCTGGAGAAGAACATCTTGCTTGGTAAAGTGGAGGGTCAGTGAAAAGAGGAAGATCCCCAAGGAGATGGAATGACACAGTGACAACAACAATGGGCTCAAACATAAGAATTGTGGAGATAGTACAGGACTGGGCAGTGTTTTGTTCTGCTGTGCATGGGGTAAGAACCAACTCGACGACACCTAAAAACAACAATGGAAAATGTTTACACTCCTGTTAATAAGGAATCATGGTAACAATAATATCTGAGAAACTGAGTAGATTGAAGGGAACTTAACACATCTCTATCTCAGAGACCCTATTAGAACAAAATTTACTCATTTTATATTAACTCTACTCCTGATTGTGGTTTAAGATGAGAAAGGAGGACTAGGAAGTTATCTTCCTCTGTTCAAAGTTCCAAAACAATGTATTCTCCAAGCCCAGCTCTAGTTGGATAGAAAAGATAAAATAATGAAGATAAAAAGAAGAAGAAGGAAGATGGTAGGGGGAGACGAAGCACAGTATCTTTATATCCTCAATAAGTGTCGTTCAGAAATACCAGAGTGGTATGACCTCTTTCTCTCCATATGCACTTAACCTATTATTAAAAGTTTATTTTAGCCCAGTAATTTCAAAGAGTACATTATGAGAAACAAAAAATCTGTCCAGTACTTGCACTTCTCCCTCGCTGGTGCCAACTGCCAGACAGGTTCCATCTTTTGTCCAGGACACAGAAGACACATAGTTACAAGTGAGTCTTAAGTCTATGTTTTCAATCTCCTTGCTGTTTTCTCCATTCCAGATGTATACAGAAGATCCAAGGGCTATAGCAACAAGATTTTGAAAATTCCGATCTAAAATATTCAGATCTATAAGAAAAGCATTTAAAATTAGGGTGATACACAGTCAAAATGAAGTCGTTTCAAATAAACACTTTATCAATAGGTATAAGAGAAAGATAAATACCTTCCCCACAGTCTACTGGAAAATAGAATTATGGATCCAAGCACATTGCTAGAAGTTTAAAACTAAAAATTGATACAGAATTTGGTGGTAAGACTTCCAGCCTAATAATAAGCAATAAGGTTTATTCTTTATTCCCAAATACACTTATTTAGGAGTATTGGTGTGGTGCTATGGGTTAATGCTCTTAGAGGGCAAGGTCAGTTTTAACTGTAAGGTTGAGGGTTCAAGTTCACCAGCCGCTCCTCAGAAACCCTATACAGGGTCTCTGTGAGTCCGAACTGACTCAAGGACACTTAACAACAACAATGAACTTATTATTTAAGGGCATTGAGAACTTCATAATTATATCAATAATTTTTAGGCTACATGGACTTCATGCAAAAGATCACTAAAATTTTAAAGCATGTGATTTGTATGAAGGCATTCTTGGGTTATCTATTTGGGAAATGTCACCATCATTTCTAACCAAAAACAACACCCAACTAGAGTTTATCTGGAAGAGAAAATGGTCATTGGCTCATTTGTAATATCTAAAAGTGACACCAAAATGACTGTCTATAAAATTTTTATACAATGCTTCAACATAAATTTGTTATTTTTTATAAAAATGTATTCTTGTAGTTAGTTATAACCAGTGCCAATTTTGTTAACAATACCAGAAATGCTTTCTCTTTTCCCCTCCACCTGTTTCTCAAGTACTTCTCATCGTTAAAGGCTAGCACTAGGTCGAATTATTCCATGAAGTTGTTCTGGACAACTGCAAAGTTTACTGAGCTCCTTGTAGACCTTACAATTATACCACAAAATTCATAATTTATGCTTTACCTTGGCTTGTTTGAGGCTGTTTCATGGTTAGTTCTGCCTCTCCAACTAGATTCTGCAAGCAGCAAGACTTTATTTCAAGTGGACAGTATTCCCTAGTGCAATTCTAGACATGTACCCATCAGACTCAACATGGTTGTCTGAATGATTAGATTTGCCCATGTTCACACACATGCAAGTAACGAGCTCTGGTAGTGGAGTGGTTACAAGTTAGGCTGATAACCTCAAGGTCAGCAGTTTGAAACTACCAGCTGTGCTGTGGGAGAAAAATGAGGCTTTCTACTCCCATAAAGATTTACAGCCTCAGTAGCACATAACCACCACCACCACCACACATGCATATAAAAGAATAGGCCACCATCAGTACAATTCATTCTAATACATTAAAACAAAATGTGTTTTACTCAAACCCAATAACACCCATCCCTGAACATGAAAATTGCAGAAGGAAAACCAGCAATATAAAGCATATTTATATGGTACATCATTTGGACAAAGGACCATTTTTCCTTCCAGAATCAAATTTCAAGTTCATGTCAGAGCACAGGGTTCATTTCAACATTTCCACTTTTCAGTTCCCTATCTAAACAATCACTTACAATAGTCATTTCGAAGACCAGTAAGATGAATCTTCACCTCTGGTTGGAGTATAGAAGAGTTCTTATCACTGAACCTTTTAAAATGGAAAGTTTCAAATTTGACTCCATCTCAACAGCCTACAAGAAGCCAATTAAAAGCATTTATCCACATCTCTGTGATCCTGGAAACAGAATATTTATCCTACCAGGTATAAAGAGATCGCTAAGTGGGAAAGAACATGGTCACCATGATAAAACTGAGTTACAAAGACCAGGTGAGGAAAAAAAAAGAGAAGAATCCAGTAATAATTTAAACAAGAATATTAAAATTTTTTCTATGACATTTTCTATTTAAAAAACAAAACAAAACACATGTGTTAGACCAAAATGTAGATGACAGATTTGTGGGAAGCACACACAGATACTGTTTAAATACTTATTCTGTCACTTGAGTTGTTAAAAACAAAGTGATTTTACCAACACTTACACAAAAAGGCCTTAGCCCTGTTTTTTGAGTCCTTAGCAAATTATACTTCTTGATTTATTGATTTTGCCTCTTTCCCCTCACTGTGTCTCTTCTAGAGCACGCAGAGTTGCTACTTTTGACCAGTTTACTCATTACTATCAGAAGTCAGGATTCTATCTTCTGCTAAATATTAGTTCTCATCAAAAGACCCTGCTAAGTACAAACCACAAGCTGCTGTCTTTTCATCTCTCCAACCACTGCACTTGTGATCAAACTGAGAATGATGTGAACAACAGGAACCAAGCCCACCCAGGTGGCTTGTGGTCAGAGGGCTTCTGGTAAAAGCAAGAGAGCATCACAACATTGTATCAAGAAGCCAGAGGCAGTGGAATCACTAGAAGGCCAGGGGGTGCAGGGAGGGGGCGTGAAGATCACACAAGGTGACACCGTCAGAGGAGGTGACACCAAAGTGATTGTCTATAAAATTTTTATACAGTGTTTCAGCAGAAATTTATTATTTTTAATAAAAAATATCCCTGTAGTTATAACGATAAAAACATTTTTCATAAGCCCAGCTTACATGTATCAATATACCTACAAGGATAAAATGCCATGCTAATTTACTTTTTAAACCTCCTAATGCATTTCACTCAGAGCTGTCACTCCAGCCCATTTACAAAGACCCTTCAAAGCATGTGGTTTATCTGCATGTGCTAGACACATTTGGCTTTTCTTACTACCAGTGTTGTTAGAGTAGCTTATTTGGCCAAATATTCTGGTGTTTTAGTTACAATATTATGGTAAGTAGTATCCATGAACCTTTATCAGTAACTTTTTTGAGAATGAAGTAGAAATTAAAGGACAAGGAGAAAAATCAAAAAAGACTTCCCTTCAAGGCCTTCCAAAATACAACTATTGGTCTCTTCCTGTCTGGAGAAAAGAAGAGTGATGAAAAATGAAAACGTTTGGAAACAATTAGTCCAATGGACTAGTGAACTTTGTGAACATCGGTCTCCATGATCCTGAGACCAGAGAACTGATGACACCTGGCTACCATTACCAAATGCTCTGAAGGGACCACATTAGAAGGTTCTAGATAGAGTAGGAGAAAATGTGGACCAAAACTCAAAATCATAAAAAAGACCAGGCTTACTAACCTTCAGGTTGGGAAGTGAAGTTTTCAGCCAAGCACTAGATATGTATATATCAGGAGAGCAACACCAGTGAGGTACCTACACCATAGAATGGCCAAACATTCTAGATCAAAACGGCAGCATTTACCTAGGGACAAAATTCAGAAGGGTTGGGAGGGAAAGAAGAATGAAAACAAGAGTTACAGGGAGGAAGTGATTTGTTGAAAGCAAAACTGATGATCTGTCTGTAAACCTTCATTCAATTCACAATAAAAAGGGTTTTTGTTATTGTTGTTGTTGTTTAAAAGGCTTCCATTCAATTACAAATAATGTCATAATTAATACTGCTGGAAGATTCAGCCGCACCTTGGAAACCCTATACTGCTGTGCTCACTATGAGTCAGAACCAACTCGGCGACACCTAAAAACAAAACAACAACGTAGAAAATTTTACAAAACAATGTAAATCTAGGAAATATTATATTCTATCAATTTATAACTATATTTATCACATATTATTCTACAATTAAAATTGATTATTAATATTACTAACAGAAGCTACTTGGCCTGTCTTCTCTCAACCTCCCTGTACTAAAAGGTTTGCCTTTAAGAACAAGAAAAGAAAGCTTTATCAGACAGATATGTAGAAAGATAAAGACAGCACAAACTATAGTAGGAAAACAGTATTTTAGAAGCTTAAGATGTAAGGAGCTCTGGTAGCGTAGTGGTTACGAATCGGGTTGCGAACCGGAAGGTCAGCAGTTCGAAACTACCAGCTGCTCCGCGGGAGAAAGATGAGGCGATCTGCTCCCGTAAAGATTTACAGCCTCGGAAACCCTATTCAGGGTCGCTATGGGTTGGAACCGACTCGACGGCACTTAACAACAACAACAACAACAAGATGTTTGGAAGGAGTTGAGGAAGTTATTGAAGACAATCCTCTGACATTTTTATTTCATTTACCCTGGTCTTAGGCACAGGTCTTGGCATGTTTAAGAGCATTACAACATAAAATACTCACTGTAGCATTTGCTGCCTGGATAAGTCAATAAATTATGGCACTTTTCAATGGTCCATATTACCTAACTAAATTGAATGATACTTGACAAAATAATAAGTCAATATAAAGATATTTCTTTGAAGGATAGATCACCTCAAGTTGAGCACCTCAGTCACCTCCATTTTTATGGCAATTTTGAAAAATGTAACAGAATACATATATCTTTTTCACACAGGAAGAGGCTTCAAAAAGTTTAGGGAAAAACGGAATTTTTTTCCACAAATTTTTCAAAGTCTTTTAGAATATATCTTCAGACACACACACACATACATATACACATATGTCATCTGAGGACAACTATTAGTTCAACCTTTGAGCACAAGTACTTTTAAGGGTCATAGGCTTTGTTTCCCAGTGTTTAGAAAAGAACCATATGGAAAGTGATTTTCCTAATCATGATGTTGTTGTTGCTGTTGTTAAGTGCC